CACATTATTGAAATAATTTTTCTTTTTTTTTTTTCTGCAAACTAGAAAGTTTTAGGTGAAAATTATTCAACTTGCTGTAAAGCAGCGTATTAATTGAAGAGTAATCTTTCCTAATGCAAAACTTGTTTGTCAGTAAGATTCGTTTCACTGACTCTACTGTGCTTTGGATGAGCTGTTAATTCACAATAAAATAAAAAAGCTTTTGAAAACAACTGCTTATAGTAAATTGAAAACAAAATTGTTTAAATGTGGTTGAGATATCTGTGAATATATGCATTAGTAACAAGAAGCTCTTCACTTCTGATGTTAAACCCAGCTTTTCCATAGTCTTTATACTACTTCAGGAACTTTTGTTTCATTTCTTTTATTTCTACAGTGGTACAGATCTGTAGCAATTATATGTGGAAAGGATACTAGAGAAATTACGTGTAAGCAAGGATATGTCTCCCATGTGATGACTATTTTTGCTTTTGTGAAATATAACTTCTGACCCCAGCTACTTTTGTTCTGCTTTCAAATTCCCATCCGATTTTGTCTTTCTTTCACTTGGATGCAAAGAAGAAAAAAGAGCAACTTGTAAGCTGTCACTGCTGTTAGCGTGCAGACCACAGCTTGAGAATGACTTTATTTAAATGCTTCTGACTTGGAATAATTCCATCTATTCACCTCTCATTACACATTTTTTGTGTTCATCCCATGTAGCGAGGATTGCTTGCACTAAACAACAGGATATTCCTCTTGCTGTTATCCGAGGCTTATCACGCTGATGGGCTGGCATCCCCTACACCAGAGTCAATCACAGACTGTTTTCCTGTGAAATGATTTGGTTCCTCTTGGAAATGAAGTCACCAAAAAGACAGTGGATCACAGTAGCACTATTGTTGGGGACTCCGTATGCTCTCTTACAAAGCCGAGTAGAAGTGCAAGGGTATTGTGATAACTGCTAACAATCAGCAGTGGATCTCTGGAGCTACATGACTGAGATGAAAGGGAACAGAAACTTAACAGGGATAAAAAGTATGTCTGAGTACAGTACAGCTGTCGTCGTCAGCCAGCAGGGTCACTCAGTCCTGGAAAGGGCAGATCTGGTTAGAGAACTGAAGAGGGACAAGAGTTTCCTACCCTTGCAAGTGCTGCTGCATGCCCTGGTAAAAGTTTTTGGCAGATCAACAGGCTTCCCTCCTTATAATTATGAGAACCAGTATATGGCAAACATACCAACTGCTTTCTTATTAGAATATTCCAGTAGGTTTTTTTAATTTTAAAAAGGACACTGATCCCCAACCTTCCCATTGTACATAGTCTCATCTCTGGTTAATATTGTTCACATGTTGCTGCAGAGAGAAGGGGGCAAATTCTGATATCCTGAACAAACCTTATCCCAACATCCTTGAAAGATTTTCTGTGGTGAGAAACAGCTTCTGTTCATTTTCTGTCAGGCTGAGAACGGCCGGGCAACAGGAGGACATCTTTAAATGCTCTCAATGTGTCTTAGTTGGGTAAGACCCTGCTGTGCCTTAGGGATTTTTAGAGCTGATGGCCTGTTTTTATTGAATCTTATATATGCCGTGAGGTACAATCAAAACTATTAAGATAGATTAATGTAAAAACAGGAAATGAAATCATATTACTTCATGTCACTTGGCAGGTTAAACCTGGAGGAACTGTGTGTAGCAATCAGCAGCATGGGGGCCTATGGGATGCAGTCTTAGGGCCTTAGATCCCACCTTTCCTGTGAAAAGGCACAGCTTTAAACCCAGAAATGCAATGTTTTTCGCTCTGCAGACCTGTAGATCACCTGCAAGCAAGCTGCTATTTAAGATCTGTGATGGGGCATCCTCATAAGCATGACAAGAAGCAAAGTTGGCAGGCAGAAGCAACCAGTTTGCCTCCTTAACAAAGTAACTGGGCAACAGCGTCAAGTTTCTGAAAACAGAAGTCTCAGGTCAGGCACATCTGAAGGCTTGTCCATGGCTCCTAGTTAAAACCATGGCTTGGTTTTAGTAAAATTTTCTCTCCATAAAGATTGATCATTTTACGACCATCTCGGGGAGCTGCGCTATCTGTCACACAGCCAGTAATCACAGTTTTTGGGACATGGCAAGAAGTTCTTATGCAGGCAGTATGCAGGAATTCTTACGCTTCTTTCTCATCCATTCTGAGCCTTGTCTTAGTGTGCACCGTCCCTGTGGCCGAGTTTCCCTTTACTGGCAAGGTTAGCAAATTCAGCGTGCCTGGACGTAGCTCAGGCACGGGGGAGGCAGTGCCTGGAGGAAGCAACATGGTGGTACAGGAGCCCACCGCAGCGTTCTCCAAGGCTGTTAGTCCAGCTGCTTTGACCAAGTGAAAAGCTGGTTTGCAATGATTTCAGACAAGTTCCGCTGTATTTATTGAGCTCCTAAAGGCCTTGGTGGTATAAGGGGAGAGGCTGCCTTCACCCGTTCTTGTGTGCTGTGGCTTTATAGCATGCATAGCAGTATCGGCTGGCATCAGGCGTGCGGCGTCCCTGGTCACGGAGCCACCGGCCAGCTCACCTGAAGAGGCAGAAGCAATGTCTCTCTGTGTAAACGTCCTAGGTTTGAAGTCTTGTGGTTGTTTAATTCTGGTTTTAGCAGGACCTAGAGAGACTGGAGGAGGAGGAGGCAGGTGTGGCTGGTAGAGCAGTGAAAGTGCCTCTGTCTGTGTTAATGCTGGTTCCCCATGTGCAGCAGGTTAGGGCTCAGGTTTGCGTGGTTTGCAGCAGTTGTTGGAAGCCTTTTTAAACTCATCTTAAAATAAATTTCCTCGAGCCAAGTGACTTTAAGGGCCAAGATTTTATTCTTTTTACAAGTGCTAATATGTAATTGTTTAGACAACAAGTGACTGTAGCTTGTTTTAATTAGTTAAGCAAAAAGCGTTCATTATATCCTGATGCTTTGCAGACACCTGAGCAGGATTTCCTAGAATCTCGAGGACATCTGTGCTTTTTCTGCTTCTCACGCTGGCTAAGGAGGAATACCACGCAGTGTTTCTCTCTGCATCTGATCTCTCAGGCAGGAGGGAGTGAAATTACCAATAAACAGTTGGCTCATAGTTGTATCTCAAGGACAGGACATTCTCCCTGCTAGTTGGGAGAATGGGGGAAAATTCTTCTGACCGGTTTCAGAGGACACACGTCTTGAATCATGAAAGCATAATCTCCTACTAATTCCAAAGGATTCTTGCTCAGGGACATTTAAGCACTTAGAAATGCTTCCTCATAAAGATAAGCTTATAGCCTATCTCCCAAATGTCTACTCCTGCCCTTTGAAATGTGACAAAGACCCTGTGGGCACAATTCTCTGCTCAGACATCGTATCTGTGCAGCGGTCCCCACTGTAAATCTTCTGTTTTTCCAGTCAAGTCTGACGTTCAGAAATACAAAATATGCATCAGAGACTGCATTGCAGGTAGAGGAGGCAGGCTTAGCTTTCTATTCAATCAAAAATGACAAATATTGAATAGTTTGCAGGAGTCCAGAGCTGACATTTTCTTTGAGTGGATCCAATGCCGCGTTGACTTGTAAACTGGCCAGTCAGGTCAGGGACTTCACTGCGTCACCCAGAAGGAGTTCTGCTCAGTTGAGTGTGCACACTTATCTCCCATTTTTGCTCCTGCCACAGTCTCCGCAGCACAGTTGATGGCCTGTTTGCTGTGATCTGGTCATGCGTTTGCGTGTTTTTATCCAAGTCATGTGAAAAGGGCTGATTGTGGCTGTAGTAGCCAGAGAGGCTCAAGTTTTGGACAATTTGCTGACAGTACCAATCTAAGAAGGGATCCTTGTCATGAGCTGGGCTCCAGAGAGGTTTCTGTGTCACTAGGAGGGAAAAAGAAAGTGGATCTCTCAAAACTGAGAGGTAAAACTATTACATCAACTCACAACGTACAGGAGAGAGAGTTTGAGAGCCCAGTGGGTTTGTTTCACATCATAGCAGTGAATTTATAAATGGGAACTGTATTTGATACTTTTTTTCCTCAGTGCAGCTTATTTTTGTGTCATATCCATCAAATCAAGGTGGCCAAGGGCTGAGCCTTTTTTATAAAACTGCCATGCATAAGTGGGAGAGACAGTGCCTGACCCCAAAAGATCACAGTCTGAATGCATCAGACACATGGAAGATTGAAAGGAGAAGAGGTACAGAAAGTAACTTCCCCACATCACATAAAAAGTAGCAGAGTCCAGACTGTACTGTAATTCTCACGCCACTAACCCCCCTCAAGTTTTGGACGATTTGCTGACAGTACCAATCTAAGAAGGGATCCTTGTCATGAGCTGGGCTCCAGAGACCTAAACTCTCTAAGCGTACATCATTTTGGGAACAGTAATATTGTGACCATGTCTAACAGAAGTAAAGCATTTTTTCAGCCCATCAGCACAATTATGAGATCACTGCAGCCTCTGAAAATGAATTTAAGCAGCACTGACACTATCAAACATAATTTGAAGTGACTATATTTTGTGCCTCGCTTCGCAAGGCCAAGATGATGATGATTTCCTGTATTATCTGTAACATGATTAGGTCATTTCTTGCCCACTCATGTTTCTGGACATTTCAGCTAGGGCAACAGTCAGTGCCAATATCAACTCAGGTTCTGAAAGATCTATACCAGCTTCCCCATAATTTTTATTCCAGTAATTGAAATGCTTTCAGATCTGAAAAGAGATGGGTGGTTTTCAAAGTTAGGAATAAGAATAGGGTTTTTGTGTTGTGTTGTTTCGGTTTTTATTTTACTGAGATTAATGTTTTCATGAGAGAAATATGAAGAAAATTTGGTGGGGAAACTTCCAACTAACTGTAAGTGTCAGAAGGAAGTTTGCAGTGCACTGCAAATATGCATTTTCTGCACCTACCTAGTGTTCTGTCGCTGCAGTCAGCTCTGTCATGGATTCCTAGAAGATATAAATGACTCTACGTGAGAGCATAACTTGAATATCTTCATCATAACACATTCCTATTTTCTCTCTCCCTCTTTTTTTCTAGATTGAATATAAGCTTTGCAATGGGTCTGACAGAGAGTGTGTATCTCCCACAGCCAAATTCACAAAGAAGGAAACACTGAAGGTATGTGCAAAGCAGCCAAGTCAGCATCAGATGACAAAACAAGTGGTGCCTTCCAAACAAATAATTGGGAACTACTCTACTATTTCCCAAGACCCAGAGAAGCCTTCAATTCTTCTGGGAGTCGTTATAGGCCAAGGGCATTCACAGGCTTTATATACAGGATTAGATGATATACTGCAAACAGAACAAATCAGTGTAATTATTTCACTCTGTATGTTCCAGAACCATTAAGCACCTCAAGAGGATTGTAATCCTTCACTGGTCTTGTTAGGAGGGGTATGCCTAGGCAATTTGTGCTTGAACACTTGCTTGTCTACCAAACCAAAAGTATAAATAGTTTTGTTTGGATGAAATTAGATGTAATCTCTTTAATTTGGGAGGTGGGGAGGACTGGGTATTCAGCCTCTTTCCATTGCCCCCCAGAGAAAAGCCAAATTAGATTATGTTTATTGGAACTTCAGGAGCAAAGAGAATACCAGCTATCTCGTCATGTTTTTGTTCTTCCTTGTGCTCATTTCTGGGGAACCTGTGCTGGGTCAAGTTCTAGCTGTGCTATACATAGCTGTCCTTAATGCATTATGTTCTTTACTCCCCAAAGAGGCTGTGATTACAGCTGCTATATTTTATCTGTTCTCAACCAGGTACAAAAAAAAAATTACAGACAGGAGAAGAAAAGAGCTACCAAACAACTCTTCAGTGCTCTGAAGGATCCCAGTGTAGTGATCACTGCAGACTGGCTGAAGGTATTTAATACAGATCGTTGCTTCTGATGCTGTAGGAAAAAATAAGTGAGAATTAGTTGATGTGTCTGAGACTTATGCACTAGCACTTTTTTTAGTGATGGATGACTGAATAATTTTCATAGAATCATAGAACAGTTTGAGTTGGAATGGACCTTAAAGATCATCTAGTTCCAACTCCGCTGCCATGGGCAGGGACACCATCCACTAGATCAGGTTGCTCAAAGCCTCATCCAACCTGGCCTTGAAGTCGCTGTAAAGCCATACTTAAATAACTGCTAGAAAAGTGGAGTTATGGGGAATACTTACTTTCCATCTTAACCTACCACAATCCATGTATTCTACGTCCTAAAGTAGCAACAAGGTCTCAAAAAAGTGTGTAGTACAAAAGGAAGTGATGATGTTTCTTTCTTTGTTCCTCTGAAGGAGTCTGCTGGCCTCTTCCCATAGATGTGGTTTTGTACTGAAAAGGGAATAGACAGAGTAACAGCCTGGAAATGGGCAGATACAGCTTGTTCTATTGACAGTTGGGTTTTATGTTGTCACAGCATAGAATGAAACATTGGATCTGATGACAACTGTAATTTCTCCTTGTGCAAAGACTCGACTAGTGACAAGTTCTCATTGAAGTCCTGAAGCTTTGTATGTGGCAAAATAAATTTGGATTGACATTGAGAGTTGTTACCTTTGACCTCTGTTTTTCTCCTTATTTGGGGCCATTTAGTCTTCTTGACTAATAGTGAATTGATTGCCCCTTTTATAATGGCAAAACTTAATTTCTGAACATCGTCAAACCAGAAGATCTAACAAACCAGAAGATCTAACATAGCTCTTTAACAAAAGCAAAAAAAAAGTAACGTAAGGATTTCATGAAACACGGTTGCATTTGACCATTTGGAGGAAAAACCTCCCACATTGTTCTACGATCAGTATTAGGGGCCGGGAAAGTGACACACGTATGGTTTATTTGAGAAATTAGATTGGCAACAAAATGTTTCCATAGTGTTTAGTGTTGACAATAGGTAAATATTGAGATTTTTTAAAATACAAAATAGCTCTTGCATGTTTGCTGTGGCTGGAAGTTGTTGGTGCAGCAACAAATGGTACTGGGCCACAGAAGCAGAACACTGACACAAGGCTTGAGGTTTGGCCTACGTACACTGAGGATATGAAGACTTCAGGCAAAGTCTAACCTCACTGAGAAACTTCCCATTCTTAAAACTGTTACCTTTAATATATGCTATCAGATTTCATGTCTTCTGTAAAAGAGAGAGTGTGCATTGAGCTTGACAGAGAAGTGAACCACCTGGAGAAGGTGCTTTTAAAAACGGTGTATTTGACAAAACCCATTAATAGCTCCATTCCGCGGAACACTATTAAAATGACTTGTGAGTCGAGTTAGACCAGCTGTAATGTTTTTCTGTGAATGTTCTAATTGACATGTCCTCCATGATTGTTGAACAAATCGCTCTCACGTGGGCCGGCAGTGCTGGTTGCCTAAAAAAATTAAGCAAGCTGCTGACGCATAAATGCAACTTTCTGTTCTCTCCCTGCTTCACTCCAGATTCGTGGGACTCTGAAGAGTTGGACCAAGCTGTGGTGTGTTCTGAAACCAGGAGTGCTGCTGATTTATAAGACGCCAAAGATTGGACAGTGGGTTGGGACAATCTTGCTCCATTCTTGTGAGCTGATCGAGAGACCCTCCAAAAAGGATGGCTTCTGTTTTAAGCTTTTTCATCCTTTGGATCAATCAATCTGGGCTGTAAAGGTAACAATCCTGATCAGTCAAATGACCTCTTCTTAGTCACCAATGTGTCTGAGCACTAGTATTCTCTAGGGTTGATATTATCTTGATTTTCGGTTATTCAGTTACTATTAATGATGGTGAATTGACTGCATAAAAAGATGAAAGACACTGAAGCTTGGTCATGATACGACATCAAAGGAGTGTGGTGCATTGTGATTAGTTATACAAACGTGTCATTCTTGGCATATAGATGCACGCATAAACTGAGGAAAGGAGAAACGTGTTAATGCAGGAAACACAGAAGCTACAGGAAGCCATGGCCTACATCTTTAAAAGGAGATGAGGAGTAGACCAAACTAACTTACTTCACCAAAACAAGGACGCACAAAGCACCAAATGCTTTGCACAACATCGGA